CTAATCGAGGTGTTTTTTGTACATAAAAAAGCTGCTTTTAAAGAATTTTCATTTACAAAAAGTTGAAAAAAAAATAAAATTTCTTTTTAATGTTTTTCCAAAAAATTTGTTGCCTGAAACATTTAAATTTCTTAAATACTTAAAACTCTATAGGTACTCCCGCAATTTTGTATTTATGAATTCTTAACAAAAACTAAAAAATGTTAAATTATATACTTTTAGCCCGTAATAGTTCAGGACATTCATGCAACACAAGAATTTTTACTAAAGAAATAAGAAACCATGCAACAAATTTGTTGCTACTTCAAGTGAACTTCTTCAATTATGCACAGACTGTAACGGTATGAAAACTTCTTACACTGCTCTCTCTCTATACTTTTTTGCATGTACTTGTATTTTGTTTTTGTTGTTGACTTTAGTTGAAGTCTAGAAGAGTTTTGTAAAACTCTTGAGAAAAAGTGTTTGCAAGTTTTTCTCCTCCTGCTACGAGTGAAAGTAAAATAGCAGAGTAAAACAGGACTCAAAGCGAACAAAAAAGAAAAACAGAAGAAAAACTTCATTCAACACCACGCATACGTAATGCACTTAAAATAAAGGATAAATTCCCCGAGGGTTTTCATTCTTGGTTTGCATGTGTCTGTCTGTATTTTCTTTCGTTTAGCTTTGTTAAGGATCAAAAATGAAAAATATATAAACTAAACTAAAGTAAGAACAACATAAAGTTAGACGAGAGTTTAGACATGTGAATATGCAGACCTTCGTGTTTAGTTTTCCAGTGTTTACACTGGCAGCGAAAAAAGGAAATTTTGTAAAATTTTGTTTAAAATATATTTTCACCTTTCAGTGACTTTTTCCTGGTTTAAAGTTTAAGTCACGTAAAGTGTAAAATCTTTGGAATAAGTGTTTGCTTAAAAGCATATTAATTTTGTGTAAATGTACTATATTGAATATTTTCCTATAAAAGCTTTGCTAAGAACATTACGATAACTATGAAAGCCTTCTTAAAAGTCAATGAATTAACCTATCAGAAGTCTAGGTTAATGGACTTTTTTAAAGCTTTTAAATGGGTGATTTACAATAAAATATCCGAACAGCTTCAGAAGCTGAAAAGCTTTTGTAAAAAAGGCTTTTAAGCTTTATAAAGCTCTCTAATATAACTGTAAAAGCTCTTCAAAAGTAGTGTTTTTGAGTTTTGATAATATTCTCTATTATTAAACAAGACTTTTAACTTTCCCTGCTACTGTAACCCACGTATCATCTATCCTATCTCTATATCCCTTTACCATTCTTTTGAAACTTTCACAGTAGCAATAGAATTCATTAGAATTTAAACATTGATGGACACACAAGTAAACTGACAGCCACAAACCAAAACATCTACCGACATCCACAAATACATATATTTATGTATATTTAGCAGTGATGAGTATCTCTGTATAAAATTACGTGAATAAAGATGATAAAATAGAAATATTATTGAAACAACTTTAACCCCATAAAGAAAACATTGATGTAAGTTGAAAATATTCAAAGACAAACATGTAAGAAAAAAGTAGAAAAAAGTCTCAAGTGCCTTTCAGGTGACATTAAAAATCACAATATTTCGCACAGAAGAAGCTCGTTAAGCTTTTTGTCGTTAGTGAAAGGAAATGTAACGTGCTGATACACTATTAGGAAGCGAAGGGTGGCAGAAGGTCAGCATACTTTTAAGTGTTGCAATATATTAAAGTATTATATAAATGTAGATAGAGTTGTCGTGTGTCGTTTAGAAATAAAATAGTAAAGGGAATTTAAATAAAATCATATCTTTTTAACACATTTCTCTTAAGAGATTATAATGTTTTTAATTAAAATGGAACTTTGGCAACTCTTTCTACTACTCACACTCAACAGTCGTTTACTCAATTTTATGACACAAATAACCTCCATGCAACCCCACATACCTTTGGCGTCTCCGTAATTGTAAAATAAAAGTATAAACAAAGTTCTAACTAAAAAAAACACAAAAACAGCAAAAAAAAGGATACACATCTCACAGACATGGCTGGCATTCCACAACATTGCCACAAAATTGAGGGGTAGAGAATAACAAGGTATAATTTCTGTGACAACTTTTATTATTCATCGTCAGTCATCTACACCAAGGGTTCCCAAATGGCAAGTCCATGGCAACATTCGCCTTTATTCTGTAATTAAATTTGAATAAAAAATTTCTTCGTTTGGCAACTTTGGAATTACCTCTTCCTTTGGGTAACTGAATGTAGGAACATAATCGAATAGGGGATAATGAAGTTTCGAGGAACTCCATTAATACGTTTCATATACGTTTTTGCTTTAATCTGTGGTTTCAAGATATGACATGTAATTGATTAAATTTTAACGGTTTTTTAGTTCAGGCCTGTAAAAGTAACACAATTTACCATACCAGAGGTGAAGTTTGAATCCAAACACTTTGGGAACCCCTGATCTATACTGTGGAGTAGTTGCAGGCTTCCAATGTTGTTGTTGCTATTGCTACTGATGTATTCAAAGTTTGAAATTCAAACTCGTACTTCATCTGGCAACTGAAATTTTATTTTTTCCTGTTTTTTTATTTTCCATTTTGTTGGAGTTAGAAGTGTGTGCGATACATTTTCATTACTCTGTGGCTTACAATAGACACTTGAAATGTATTTTTAACAGGATTTTAGGATTTTCAGCTACTTTGGGTTTTTATATATAAGTTCCTGCCAGTCTGTCTGTCAATCGTTGTGATTCTTGTCATTTTGTTTTCTTCAAGTTTTTTTCTACTGTTGTCCTTGAGTGCATGTGAGAATAAACAATGATTAAAATGTATTTGTTTTTTCCTGGATAAATTTCCTTGGTATAAGAAAAAACATTATTGTTTTGAATCTTTAGGGTTTTATTGCAATTTGTCAATGATATATCAATGTTAAAGATTAAGAGATACTTTCCTTAGAGAAATGCAATACAAAATTTATTTAATTTTTTAAATTAAATATTAAAAAACAAAGTTTTAAACTTCATTAAAACTTTCGCTGTTTTGTTTTCAATATCAATACTTTAAAGGACTTTTGACCGGGCATCATTAGTGTTCTCTAATAAGTCTAACAGCTATAAAAAAATTATACTTTTCTTTACGACCTTTTTCTAAGACTAGCAAATTCATTACCATTTTATTGTAGACCCCACATTACATAATTTGTTACACAATTTCTTAACAGCGATTATTCAGCTCATTTTAATTTGTTTTTTAAACTTCATAATTTGAAAATATAAACACATATTTCATCTTTGTAAAGAAAATAAATGAAAAACCTAGTAAACACTTGTAAACTTTATAAACTTTTTACTGTGAAAAAGGTCATTGTCTCATTACGCAGACAATTAGTTGCCATTACACTTTGCTGCTCCAGTACAACAACCAACAACAACACATAACAACTCAACAAAAATGTGTTTGTAAATCTAAACGGGAACGACCTAAACAACAGCAACCAACCTTCCCAACAGCCAGTCTTCATTGCTTGAATCCTGCTACTAAATACTAACAAACAAGCAAACATACACATTTAAGTCTGCTCCTAAAAATAATCCTACTTTTCATCCTGTTTATTTTTCAACTGAATTGAGTGCTTATGTATGAGTGTGTGAGGAATATTATTAAAACGTGTTCATTCACATCATACATTCATCCATCCATCCATCCATCTACCTCCTTTTATACATATTTCTTTAGTTTTGTTTTTTCCTAGCACCACAAGCAGCAACCAAAACACTTCTCAGCTTAATTTGAAATGTTGGGAATTGTTTTCGTTCTTCGTGTTTTGTATCAGTTTTGGTTTGGTGGGCGTTTGAGGACCTTTAGAAGTGTTTAAGTAGAGTTGTTAGCCTTAATGGAGGAATGATCTCTAAGGATTTGTGATCATTAAGTTAATAGAAGATACATAGATACATGTTTATTTGGCTTTAAAGTTGCTTAAGATACCTAGCAGTATAGGGAGAACATTATAAATGTTTATAGACTATACCTCAAATAGATTATTGGGGTCTCATGCGAGAATAACGTGTATTAATAATTTTGATGTACATCATGTATGTTGAAAACATAATTTATTTCTTAAAAAAATACTAGATAGGGTTATTTTAAGCTATAACTTCCCAGAAAAAAAGCTTTACTTACTCGGTAAGCAGTCAACTAATGCTAGAACAAAGTGGAAGTACTTACTTTTTGGATAAATAAAATAACTGGTTACCAATGCGCTTATCCGACTTTTCTGGACTTTTAGTCCTACACAGAGGGAAAAGGAAATATACACGCTTGGTACCAAATTGGCACCAAAGAGTTTGTAATTTTTCAATAACAACCGTTGTCAAAGTATATACATACGTACGACAACACTATGTCGCAACGTTGTCAACATTGCAACAATTCGTTGTCGAAATCTAAATTTTTTACACATACGTTGTCTAAATGTTAACAAACGTGGTAAGTTCACTATTGCAAACAATCCGTTGCCAATAGTGAGCTTACCACGTTTGTTAACATTTAGACAACGTATGTGTAAAAAATTTAGATTTCGACAACGAATGTTGACAACGTTGCGACATAGTGTTGTCGTACGTATGTATATACTTTGACAACGGTTGTTATTGAAAAATTACAAACTCTTTGGTGCCAATTTGGTACCAAGCGTGTATATTTCTTTTTCCCTCTGTGTAGTGTTTTAGTCTATCCGCTATTTGGAATAGTTTTTACATAACAGTATAAATCAACGCTTTTTGAAAAAACTACTGTTAGTCATCAGCCAGGGTCTGAACCACTAACTTCTTGTTTGTTAGACAGTCTAGACAATAAGCTACAAATGCTATACAATAAAATGAAGTAATGTTATTGATAACGCCCACTCATCACCAGGTAATGCATTCATTTAATGCATTACATTTAAAATTTAAAATAGATTATTTTGTGTAAATATTTTTCTCTTTTCTTTTTTCAGATTGAACTAATGGATTGAAAAATTCCGAGATAAAGGTAAGATGAGAAACGTTAATTATTGTTTTGGGTCAAATGAGATCCGATCAATATGAAAATCGGTAGTAACATTCAGACTTATACAAAACTAAACTGTGCAGATTTTTGTAGATATACTAAACCATTTAACATAATAATGAGCTCAAGCGCTTCATTGGTGGGGGGTATTTGTTGTGTTATGTTGTATGGGCGCTAGATGAAATAATGAACCGATTTCAATCATTTTCAATAGACTTCGTCCTTAGGCCAAGAAAAGTATGGTGCCAAATTTCATAATCGCAAAATTCTGACCAGTAGCGGGCGCATTAGGTTTATATGGACACACACAGATAGACGGACACAGCTCAATGGACTCAAAAAGCCACATTAGCACAAATGCATAAGGGTAGGCTAAGTCCGGCTTTTCCTCCCTATTTTCGTTGACTATGTGGTTTCAGTGAGAACCAGCCGGTACTTCTTATAAATACGATTATATTTACTAGTGTGGTATTTCTGAGACAGTCCAGATCATGGAAAATAGCTCTACCTAGATAAAGTAGTCTATGCACTTGTAAGGCTGGGCAGTCACATAGAAGGTGTTTTCTTTTTGTTTTTTTTTTTTTTTTTTGTCCAAACAGTAATTATACCCTTAAGAAGTCTAATCTAGTTCTTACTAAAGTACAAGAGATCTAGTCCTATCCTTTGAGAGAGTGGATAGAGCAGTCTGGATATTATACTAGTGATTATATTTGACCACCTCAATTTCGATAAGGTCACCAGGGAAGTATGGAAGTCTAGGGACGACCTTTTGATTGCGCATTCATCACATATTTCATTTCTCCGGATGCCCTCATGTCCTGGGTCCCATATCAATTCAACTTGATGTGAAAATACCGAACTTTAAAAAAAAATATTTCTTTAAAAGAACTCCTGATCTTCTTTAATAGATCTTGGACTAAATACCCAATTTTTAATTTAAAAAACTCGGACTTTTCATTAAAATTAAAATGTTGATTAAAAATTGTGATTTTAATTAAAAGTTAGATTTTCCCAAAGAAATTGAATTTTTTATTAAAAAATCACTAAAAATTATAATTAAAAAAAATTTGATTTTCTCCAAAATTTTAATTTTTTTTTCTAAAAAATTATTTTTTTAAAAAAATTTCATTTTGTCAAAAAAAAATTAATATTTACTAAATATTAAATTTTTCACTATAAATAAAATTTTAACTAAAAGTATTATTATTACAATTTATGAAATTTTCTTTAACAAATTAAATATTCGCTAAAATTTAAATCATTTTCCTAGGAAATAACTGTAAGGATCGTATATTTGAACCTCGATTGCTTTAATCTATTTTTAATAAGCATCAAAAAGAGAAAACTTAATTTTTCTTTTAAATAATATTGTCCTCGTTTTTAACTCGCACAAAAATTAAATATTACCACACAAAATACTACAGCAGTTGCTAAGGTAAATTCCAAAAAAAAAATGTCATCAGCTCTTTAGCACAAATTAAACTGAAAATTAAATATGTAGTTGACTTAACTATCCTTAATTTACTATTTCCCCAGATGACTTTTACAGTTTAACCCCTCTGCATTTGAGTCAGCATTTAATTTAATTTGTATTGTATTTGTACTGTATTTGTTTTCTATACAATTCTCTGTAGATAGAAATTTTTAACGTTTTTAATGTTTAGAAAAAGAAAATAGAAATAAAGTCAATAATTCCCACTTGTATGCTTCATTAAATTTTATAAGTATCAACAATACAATGACGCATATAGTACGTACACATTGAATCTAAAATAATTTTCCAAATAAGATTTATTACATTTGCAACACCCCCTCATTACTAAAGGTACAAAATGTACAAGAGTAGCGAGCATAGAAAACGATATAAAAGTCGTAACCTTTCTAATGAAATACATACGTTAGCATTATAGATGTTACTTACGAACAAATACCAACAATGTTGCAACACACACAGACACACAGTCACTCGCTCACATTTTACACTTTAAGTGCGCAACATATTAAATGCACTAAAATTTACGATTATTTTTTACAACCACTACTATCAACGACTACAATTGTAAATTTACTATACACTTGGAAATTTCTAATATTCGTTATCAGAGTTAATTTTAAAAAGGGAGCACTCACTATGAAAGCCATAAAAAAGGACTTAAACTGGCAATTGTGTAATAAGGGTTGCAAGGAGCAATTTAAAGCTAAAATGAAGTTAAATTTGTTTAAAAACGGTCACATGCGATTGAATATGTCAAAAGTATAACAAATTTTTTTGGGCTTTAAAATATTAAAAGTGCTGCTGCTCATTCAGTTTTGTAACACACACCTGTACCCAACTATTTGCCTTAAATAGGGCAGATTTATTTTCATTCATTACAACTCTTTTATTGTCAGTAATGTAGTAAAATAGCACAATTTATTTTATATCCTTAACAAATTCCCATACAACGAACATGCAACATTTTATCTTTATTATTTTCTGTGAAAAAAATCCAAAAAAAAAAAAAAAGAAAAACACTGGAATTACATTTATGATTCCTGTCTTCGAAATAAAGAAATCTTGCAAGTTATTTGTGTCATCACAATTTATTTGCTACAATTCCTTTTTTGCTTTTTAAAATAATTAAAAAAAGAAGCTGCAAATAATTCATCATAATTTCATGGATGTTAAACAGTAAAAAGAAGAAGAAGATGTTGGAAAAAAAATGAAATAAATTTGCAGCATAATTAAAATTAATTACACATGTGAGTGTTGTAAAGTAAAATAATTACTTATACAAATTCACTTTGTTTCAACATCATACACAGTTTTTCGTTTTAATTTGCCACAGATGAGTTCTCGTATTTCAAACAGAAGTTTGTAGTTGGTTGGTTGCTCTTCCAATGAAGTACAGTTTTGATTAAATAAAGAAATTTAAATCCACTAGAAGAATAAAGTTCTTTTTCTTCTTATTTGAATATTACACAGATTCTGACTATAAACAAAGGACCACCCATACAAACTAACAAATAGATCCATTGGTGTTGATATATGTGCCTAGTATGCTTTAAAGGCAAGGGAAAAAGTATTTTTCCGATCTCTGCTGTGTTCAGCTAAAGCAATCCAATCTCTTTCTTCGAACGATTACTTTTGCACACAATATTATCATGTACAATCAGCTAGAAAACTACACACATATGTAAAAAACTTATTTCCTAAAAAAATCAACAAGCAGAAGAAGTTGATCGTGCGCAGTATCAGTTTTCCAAACATATACATTTGTACGATCAGTTTTTTATTTGCTGAACGATCAGTTTTTTTTATAGAAAACTCTTCTTATGATACGTTTTTTTTCATAAATTCAATCGATCAGTTCGGCATTAACACGTAAGATAATTTCTCTACAAAAAGTTTCTGCACGATCAGTTATCAGAAAACTATTCCTATGATGAGTTCTCTATAGAAAATTCTTCCTACGATTACTTTTCTATATAAAATTCTTCCTACCATTAGTTTTTTATACACATTAAATCCTACCATCAGTTTTTTATGATCAGTTTCTATGAAAAATCTACTGAACAATCAGTTGTCTATAGAAAACTCATCTTAACATAAGGTTTCTATTGAAAACTTTTCCTAAGATTAGGTTTCAAAAAACTCTTCGTATGATTAGTTATTATGTTCAATGAAAGTTCATCCTTTGATCAGTTTAAAAAGAGAATATTTCGCTCTTTCGTCTATCGAACGATCAGTTATCTATAGAAAACTCTTCTTAATACCGAGGTTCTAAAGAAAACTTTTCCTAAGATGAGGTTTCAAACAACTCTTCGTATGATCAGTTTCTATGGAAACCACACCGAACGATCAGTTTTCTATAGAAAACTTTTCTTAAGATCGGTTTTCTATAGAAAACTTCCTATTTCTTCCTACGATTAATTTTTTATACACAATAAATCCTGCAATCCGTTTTTTATGATCAGTTTCTATGGAAAATCTACCGAACGATCAGTTATCTTTAGAAAACTCTTCTTAACATCAGGTTTCTATTGAACACTTTTCCCAAGACCAGGCTTCAAAAAACTTCTATGGAAACCCTACTGAACGATCAGTTTTTTAAAGAAAACGTTTCTTAAGATCGGTTTTTTATGGAAAATTCTCTCTACGATCACATATTTGTAAACATTAAATCGTACCATAAATTTTTATAAAAAAGAACTCCTGTATGATCAATTTATATGGAAAACCAGTTTTTTATGGAAAATCTACCGAACGGTCAATTATTTATAGAAAACTTTTCCTAAGATTAGGTTTCAAAAATCTCTTCGCATGATCAGTTTCTATAAAAACTCCAACGAACGATTAGTTTTTTATAGAAAACACGGTGTATGATCAGTTATATAGAGAAACTACTCAAACGATCAGTTTTCTACGAAAAACAGAAACTACTTTCGCACCCTACCAATTGTTGTAATATTTATAATGAGATCACATCAAAATTCCACTAAACTTCTAAAGCACAAATAAATTTTAATTTAAAAAACAACAAAACCTTATAAAAACAAGAAAACAAACATAAAATTCAACACTTTATTGGCCATGCAATTTATGAGAATTCTAATTATGAACTTATTTCACAAAACAAAAAAAAAAATACAAATTACACCAATTAACTTTAAATCACAAAGTTATTTATTAGAAATTCCTTTAAATAATCCATAAAATACAAAGCAAAATTAACAAACCCCAATAAATTCAAGGCGCCTCAGACAAATGACATCAACTACAAACAACAACTGTTTGTGTATATTGTTGTATGATCATGATCATCATCTTAGCAACATAAATTGTTTTTGTAGCAAACAACTTGTGTGCTTGTGCACACACATTTGAGATTTTAATTCATAAACGAACGCACTAAATCTGTCAGATTACTTTTTTTTATACAGGCAAACAAAATTATAACAAAAAGTACTGGAAAAAATGTAGATCACTCACAACAGCCAAG